CGGGTTGGGGCTCGGCCCAGCTGTAGGGCGTGGCTGTGCCCAGGCTGGTGGGAGAGGCAGGAGAGGGGGCAGAGCACCAGCCCCCACCCCAGGTCAGCCCCTGGGGCCACGCCCTGCCGTCACTGACCCCCTGGCCGGTGGGTCCTCGAACTCAGCCTTCTTCTCGCATGGCTGTGTTTGGACAGGGCCAGGCCAGCCGAGTGAGTTTCCATTCAGGCCTCCTAGCCCAGGGCTTCCCCACCCACTCCCATCGTGCCCTCCAGGTGCCACCCGGCCACGAAGGCCCAAGCCCAGCGCTCTGCCCGCCCAGACCTCCTCCCTGCTGCCCCCATGCTGCCCTACCTGCTCCTGGCCTCTCTTTGCGGCCGGCACGCCACACACCACTGCAGACAGTTCCTGGGGGAAGGTGACGTGTGGCACTGGAGACATGCCCCAGGGCAGCAGTGCCAGGCAGTGTCCTCAGCAGTGTGGGGGCCCGGCAGGGCCTGTGCTCAGGAGGCGAATCCTGGAAGACTTGCTGGAGGAGGGGGTGGGTAGGAGGGGGTGTGGCTCTGGAGAAGGAGAGGATGGCGGTGGGGGTTGCGGGAAGGGCCTGGGCCTGGGAGGTTGCCTCCTGCCCCTGGCAGGGCACCCCTTACGCAGAGCCTTGGGCTGCCCGTGTGGGAAATGGGGGCGCAGCATCCGTTTACAGGCAGTGAGTGGGGAAGCAGGCTGGCGGTGCCCCCCCCCCCCCCCCGCACCTCCGCAGCTCACTGCTGGCTCCGAGCTGCCCCACCCCTGGGTCTGACGTTTCTCCCACCTGTGTCATGGTGTTTGTGCGTCCATCGTCCATCGGGGAACCCCAGCGTCATGGCAGGAGGGCATGCCGTCGGAATGCAGCCCCAGGCGCCGGGTCAGTGAGGCAGTGCGGAGGCCAAAGTCCCGGCGGGCTGCTCTCCGACCCCCTCCCTGCAGGCCCGCAGTCTGTCAGCTGGGGGGCCAGCCTTTGGGGTCCCGCAGCCTAGCTGGGTTTGAGAAGCCCAGTGGGGTCTTCCCTCACGCTGTGTCCCCTCCCTGCTTGCAGGTGTGGCACGGACATGCATACACATGTCTGTTGTCCCTGTCCCCACCCTGGGGGGCCGTGGCCAGCAGTGCTCCTGACCCCCATGAGCTCTGGAGGGGCAGGATGTGGTTCTGGTGGGGCAGGGCCTCTGCCTGGCTGGGCGTGTCCCCGTCTGGTGTGTGTCCCCCCACGCCCCCTCCCCCGTGGTCCCTCCCCTCCAGACCCTGGTGGGCGGGTGGGTGTGGGGGCTGCTGGCAGGCTCCCCTCTGGCCAGGGCCCAGGTGCAGGCAGTGCTCAGAGCGCCGCGCCCCCTCCCCCCCAGCTGGGCAGACAGGAAAATACCAGACATAGTTGTGCAAAGGTGGTGCGGGCAGCCGGGGTGGGGGCTGCAGATGGGGCCCGGGGGTCACTGTCGGGGGGTGGGGTAGAGGAGGTCCCTCCCCTGGAATCCAGGACTGCAGGGGGAGCCAGCCGCCCTGCCACCCAGTCTCGGCGCGGCCTGGTAACCTGGGCTGGGCACCCCTGAAGGCCCCCCCCCCGGGCCGGCCCCTGGTGTCCAGCAGGAGGCCTGGACCCCACACTGCTGATGGCCTCTGGGCTGGGGGCACTGATGTGTCCATATTGGGTGGCTCTGCTTTTGAGGGGCCCGGGAGCCCTAGGGTGCTGCTGACCTCCCATGGGGCTGCGGGGAGGGGTCTGCTGCCCAGGGAAGGTGGACCCCCCCAACCGTGGTCTTCCAGGAAGTGCTATGGCCCCCTGTGTCCTGCGGCAGTGTCTGCAGACTGAAGCTGGACCGGCCCAAGTGAGGGGCCCGATGGCCACGGCACCCTGCACTCCCAGCCAGCACCGACCCAAATGCTCAGATTGGGCCGCCCCATTGCGCGATGCTCCCCCAAACCCAGGGGCACAACTGTTTGGCCACTCACTGCCTATTTCATTCTCTTTTGGGGGGAACTCCCAGTGTGCCCAGGAGGCCTGGGGCCCCCTGCTGGTCTGGGAGGTCAGGGGGGCCGTGGTGCTAGGGTTTGCCCCAGGTGATTCTCCCAAAGACCTGGCGGCAGCGGCTGGACACCCAGGTAATGGGACCCAGACTTGGACCCGTCTGAGCTGCGGGGCCAGGAGGGGCCCTCAGGATGTGACCTGTCCCTGCGTGGGGGAAGGCCGATCCCTTGGCAGGAGCCTGGAGCCGCAGCGGTTCCCAGGAATGCCGGCCTGTGGGCCGTTTGCTTTGGCAGCTACCCTGCCTCGGCTCTCCAAGCCTCCCCGTGGGCCCCTCCTGCGGGCCCACCCACTGCCTGCTGCCCCCTCGGCCTGGGCGGGGGTGTCAGACTCCCCGTGGCTTCTGTGGGCGCAGGATGTGCTCCTGGGCCTGGCTGGGCTGGAAAACCCCCATCCTGCCTACCTGGGCTGCGTGACCCTCACTCCATCTTGCAAGCCTCTGTACTTGCTTCTAAAATGGGGTGTCATGGGGGGCTCGAGAGGACAGTGGGTAGGGGGGCACCTGCCCACGGCAGACCCGAGTTCGATCCCCGGCATCCCCTATGGTCACCAGGAGTTACCCCTGAGCATCGCTGGGTGTGACCCAAACAAAAGAGAACTGAAGAAGCGGGTGTGAGGGCGCTCGCTGCAACAGCCCTGTTCGCCCGTGGTGTCAAGGCCAGGGGTGGCTGACCACTGTACTCAGTCTGTCTGTCTGTCAGAGCAGCCTGCAGACGGCGCCTGGCAAGAGGACGCCTGTAGCCGAACTGGACAGGCACGAGGCCAGGCTTTCCGTGTGATAAGAAGAAAGGGGGGCCCTTCCCCAGCCTCAGGCTGGTAGGATCCAAGCAGTGTGGGTGGGCAGGGGGCCCCCCCATTGCAGAGGACCCGTTTCTGCTTTTGCGCGGAAAGTTCCTAGATGGTGAGTCCTGCCCTCCAGGCCCCTGCCAGGCTCAGTTTCCCCCTGTTTGCTCCAAGCAGGGACTTCAGAGGTTCTGCAGACTCAGTGCCAGGCCTGCGGTCAGTGTTCAGTGTCCCGGAACGCCCCCCACCCTCCTGTCATGGGGTCTGGAGGTTTTCTGGCCCTCTGCCTCCCTGAGTGCCCGGGGTCCCCACCCGCCCTCAGGTTGGCAGGACCCTCGGGATGACCCAGCTCAGCTCGGCCAGTCCTTCGGAGGGGGTGCGTGTGGCGTGGGGGTCCCCCGGGCAGGGCGGTGGCGTTGGGGGGGCGACTACAGCGGCCAGGCCTGGCTGGTGCACAATAGCGCCCATTGTCTGTCCTGGGCTGCGGGGTGAGGCCCCCGGGGCAGCGCGGCCCACCCCCGGGGTGACCCCCGTCCTGTCCCGCCGCCCCGGTGGTCCCGCCCCGCCCTCCCCGCTTCCTCCGCTCTAATTAGTTCCTTTCGCGGCCGCCGCCGCCGCCGCTGCGCGACCACCTGGGCGCCGCCCCCCGGCCCCGCTCCCGAGCCTGCGCGCTGGGGGGCGGCGCGCACCCCCCCCCCCGCCCCGTCCGCGCCCGGGGAAACTGAGGCCGGGGCGCGATGCCTAGCCCGCCCCGCCCCGCGCGCGGCCGTCGGGGACAAAGAGCCTCGCGGAGCCCGGGACTGGCCGCCGCCGGCCGCGGGCGGGGACGCGGGGGGACGCGGAGGTTGGCCAAGGTCAGGCTGCCACGGGCGGGCGGGCGCCCCGGGGTGGGGCCGTGGAGGAACTCGCGGGTGCGGCCGCCCGGGACTCCTCCCCGAACGGGCGGCGCTGGCCTCCAGCGAAGGGACCGGCCTCCAGGGCACGGCCGGCAGGAAGTGGGGGCGGCTCCCCTCCCGCCCGGGGTCTCCAGGGATGCCGAGGAACTGGGTGACCGGCCCCGGGGCCCCGCCCAGGCCCCCCGCGGGCCCCGGAGGCAGGGCAGAGGCCAGGGGATGTCCAGCAGCGTTCCGGGCCGGCCCGCCCCCGCCGCCCGCCTGGGGGCGCCGGGCGTGCTCGGGGATGCAAGCCGAGGGGTGGCCGGTGGCCCCCCGCCAGCCCCAGGACCAGGCCACCAGCCCTTCCTGGCTCCTGAATTCTTAATCAGCATAAATATTTACTTCCTTCCTCCCCTTCCAGGCTCCCAGCACAGCGCTTCAGGGTCTGTGTCTAAAAATAAACAGGTGGATGGTGGATGGCAGGCAGGCAGACAGACAGACAGACAGACAGACAGAGGTGGGTGGGGAGGGCAGCCATCTGTCACCGCCCACCCGACTGCTTGGACCTGGGGCTCCTGGGGGGAGGGCGGCTGGCCCCAGTCCCTCCCCGTCCCCACGGTGCCCTGGACCACGCATGACCAGCACAACCAGCCAGATTTCATCCCTGACAGTGTCAGAGGGCATCGCCTCACTGCAGGCTCAGAGGAAGTCCCCCCACCTGGGAGGCTCCATGTGGGGTCTGGGGAGACTGTCTGGGGGCCCGGGGGGCATGCGGGGTACCTGCTTCCTGAGGTGCAAATCCCAGCCAGGGTGCTGGTGAGTTTGCAGACAGCTCGGTGGTGAGGTGAGGCAGACACTGGCTGCAGCCCCTTCCCCCACGGGGCCCTGCGAGCACTGAGGAATGCCAAGGGGATGCTCCTGCCTCTGAGAACATCCCCTGGGCTGGACAGGGCTCATGCTTTGCATGCTGGAGCCCCCAAATGTAGGGGTGCTGAAAGAACACGGCTGGCTGTCTCACTGGGCTTCCTCCGCTGCCAGCCACCCGGCCACAGTCCCCTGCCGCCCCCTGCTGGCCGCCCCCTGCTGGCCGCCCCAGCCCGCGGGCACCTCTTGGCTGTATCCCCCTCCCACCAGAGCCCGGGACCCCACACCCACAGGCTGGGCAGCACTGGGGGCCTGACTGAGGGTCTCCGCTGGGAAATCGCCGGCCCCTGGCCTGCTGGGGTTCCCGTGGTGCAGCCCTGGGGTCTGGGGTTAAGACGCAGCCTGTTCCGTGCCAGGTTCTGCCCGCCACCCCCCATCACCATGCACTCCTTGGATGAGCCGCTGGACCTGAAGCTGAGCATCAGCAAGCTCCGCGCGGCGAGAGAGAAGCGGGAGCGCGCCCTGAGCGTGGTGCGACCCCGCGCCCTGCACAGGGAGCTGGGCCTGGTGGCTGACAGCCCCACACCCGGCTCCCCCGGCTCCCCGCCTTCAGGTAGTGGCCCCGGTAGGTATGTGTGTGTGGGTGCTGCCTTGAGGGGACTGCCACAGGAAGGTCGGGTGCCGGGACGCTCCTCACAGCGCCTGGTCAGTGTGCCCGCACCCTGCTGGACCACCCCTGGCTTCTGGGTGCGACACTGTCCCCAGGAGGGGCAGTCGGCCCACCCAGGGCTCAGCAGAACCCAGATTCCAACTGAGGCTGCCGGGAGGAACTGCAGCACTGGGGGAGGGGTTTGAGGGGGTCAGCACCCCAACGCTGGACTTTCAGGCAGTGACTGGTACTGGGATGAGACCAGCGAGAGCTGATCCGGAGGGTGCTCCCGTGCACCCTGAAAGCCAGAGTGCTCATACTGAGCTAGGTCTTGGGTTTTTTTTTGAGGAGTCACACCCAGCGATGTTCAGGGGCGACTCCCGGCCCTGCACTCAGGGATCATTCCTGGCGGTGCTCAAGGGATCACGTGGGATGGTGAGGATCGAACCTGGGTCAGCCACATGCAAGGCAAGGCCCTACCCAGTGCACTATCTTTCTTGCTCCTGGAAGGTGGATTTTATTTTACTTGATTTGCTTTTTGGGTCAAACCTGGCAATGCACAGGGTTTACTCCTGGCTCTGCACTCGGGAATTACTCCTGGCAGTACTCGGGGGACCCTATGGGATGCTGGGAATCGAACCCGGGTTGGCTGCATGCAAGGGAAACGCCCTACCCACTGTGCTATTGCTCCAGCCCCAGTGGTTTTTATGTTTTCTTTCTCTTGTTGCTCATAACTGGTGGGTGCTTGAGGGACCATGTGGTGCTGGGACTGAGCCCCGGGCTCCTGCATGCAAAGTGTGTAGCTTCTGAGCCCCCAGAGACAGACGGAGACCAAGGGCCAGCCTCTCGCCAGCTCCTGCCCCCACTTCTCTACAGAAGGGAGCATGGAATCAGACGGGCTGGGAGAAGGGAGGGAGTTTTTTGCTGTGCCCCTGACCCTGTGCTTTCCCTGCCTGGGCTCTGCTGCTGGTGTCTACTTCGGGGACCACAGTGGCCTGCACCCCTGAATCGAGTCTCTCCCTTAGGCTTCCTGCTGAACCCCAAGTTTCCTGAGAAGGTGGAGGGCCGCTTTTCTGCTGCCCCTCTGGTGGACCTCAGCTTGTCCCCTCCATCTGGGCTGGATTCCCCCAATGGCAGCAGCTCGCTGTCGCCTGAGCGCCAGGGCAACGGGGACCTGCCTGCGGTGCCCACAGCCCCGGTAAGGAGGGGTGCAGAAGCCAGGGAGCGAAGGGGATTGGTTTCTGGGCTCTGGAGACGCAGGGGATGGCATGGGTGGGTGGCTTGGAAGCACTGAGGTTTGTTCAGCAGTTTGGAAGGTGAAGTCTGAGATCAAGGGGCCACACAAAGACTACACGGGGGCTCTTTCCTGCCCCTCCCAGCTCCTAGGGCTCCGCTTAGCACCTGGCAGCCCTGCCCCTATCCCTGCCGCCTGTGCTGTCATCCACAGCGTGGTCTCCCTGTGGCTTGGTGGAGTCCAGGCAAAGATCCCAGTTCCCAGAGAGGTCCCAAGCACAGGCTGGGGTTCGGCCTCATCTCAGGCCCCCTGGTGGGCAGAGGGGTCTGGGCTGTGGGCCCGCGACCCCTGACCATGCGGCCACCCTCCCCTCCTGCCAGGACTTCCAGCCACTGCGCTACCTGGACAGCGTCCACAGCTCCTTCCAGTTCTTTCTGCCCTTGGGATCTGGGGGCGCCCTGCGTCTGCCCGCTTCCTCCTTCCTCAACGCCCCCAAGGACAAGTGCCTCTCGCCAGAGCTCCCCTTGCCCAAGCAGCTGGTGTGTCGCTGGGCCAAGGTGAGTGGGGACCCGGGATCGGCCATGGGGGCCACAGGGGCACACCTACTTGGACTCAGACCCTCGCTGTCCCGTAGTGTAACCAGCTCTTTGAGCTCCTGCAAGACCTGGTGGATCACGTCAATGACGACCACGTGAAACCCGAGAAGGACGCAGGTTACTGCTGCCACTGGGAGGGCTGTGCCCGCCACGGCCGCGGCTTCAACGCCAGGTGAGGTGGGGGCGAGCGCGGGGGAGGGGCGAGCGCGCGGAGGGCGGGGCCAGAGGGCAGCGGGCGGGGCGAGAGCTTGGAGGGTGGAGTGAGACCGCAGTTGGGGGGGGCGGGAGCGCGGAGGGCGGGGCGAGAGCAGTGGGCGGGGCGAGAGCAGTGGGCGGGGCTAGGAGCACGAAGCGGTGCTGAGGCAGCTCTGTGCCCCTTGGCGCAGGTACAAGATGCTCATCCACATCCGCACACACACCAATGAGAAGCCGCACCGCTGCCCCACCTGCAGCAAGAGCTTTTCCCGCCTGGAGAACCTGAAGATCCACAATAGGTCGCACACAGGTGAGGGACCGGGTGCGGGTTTGCCTAGATGGGACCTGCCCTGGTTCAGAGGTTCCTTTTCTGCGACCCTGGACACAAAGAGTGGCTTCGTGTGGCATGGCCTCATCAGCTTCTTAAGTCCCCCCCCGCCCCCAGTCCTGCCGCCAGTGGGCTTGCGTGGGCCTGCCCCTTGGTGCCCAGCTCATGACTTTGCAGAGCTGGGGCTGGGGCAGAGCGTGAGGTCTGGGCATCTACCCCAGCCCCAGCTACATGAGAAAGACTACCAGACACTCCGCTTGTAGAAAGTCCACTGGGCATGAGTCTGCAAGCCCTGGAGGCCCTGGGTCTCGACTGTCACTGCTGGGTGTACTGCCAGGGTGGCCCAAGCAGGCTTAAGTGCCATGCCCAGGGATTCCCAGGGCCCAGCTATCCAAAATACTGCTTCAGGGGCTGGAGCGATAGTGCAGCAGGGAGGGCATCTGCCTTGCGTGCAGCTGAATTGAGTTTGGATTCCGAGCACTGCCAGGAGTAATTCTCGAGTGTAGAGCTGGGAGTAACCCCTGAGCAGTGCTGGATGTGCCCCTAAAATAAAAATGTTCTTTCAGTAGATCATCAAAGGGGTGTGGGCACCCTACACTGCCCAAGGGTCCCCTGAATGCTTCCAGGAGTGAACTCCAACATATTTCCCCCAAAAAAGGGGGACATTCTCTTCTATGGGAGAGAGCACTGGGTGGGGTACTCCGGGCACACAGCCGTGTGGTCCTGTCCTGGTTGGTGCAGGCCGTGCCCAGAGTGACCGTTGGGATTCACGGGCCTTCAAGGCTTATGGACTTACACCTAGTGGCCTTTAAGAGTGGAGTGTCCGGGGCTGGAGAGATAGCACAGCGGGTAGGGCGTTTGCCTTGCACGCGGCCGACCCAGGTTCGATTCCCAGCATCCCATATGGTCCCCTGAGCACCGCCAGGGGTAATTCCTGAATGCAGAGCCAGGAGTAACCCCTGTGCATCGCCAGGTGTGACCCAAAAAGCAAAAAAAAAAAAAGAAAAAAAAGAGTGGAGTGTCCAGGTGGTCCCGGACCTCCACAATGGGGGTCTAATGCCACCCGCCTGCCTGCAGGGGAGAAGCCGTACGTCTGCCCCTACGAGGGCTGCAGCAAGCGCTACTCCAACTCCAGCGACCGCTTCAAGCACACGCGCACCCACTACGTGGACAAGCCCTACTACTGCAAGATGCCGGGCTGCTGCAAGCGCTACACGGACCCCAGCTCGCTGCGCAAGCACATCAAGGCCCATGGCCACTTCGTGTCCCACGAACACCAGGAGCTCCTGCACCTCCGGCCGCCCCCCAAGCCCCCCCTGCCCACCCCTGACGGTAGCCCCTATGTCAGTGGGGCCCAGATCATCATCCCCAACCCTGCCGCCCTCTTTGGAGGGCCCGGCCTGCCCGGCCTGCCCCTGCCCCTGAACCCCGGTCCCCTTGACCTCAGTGCTCTGGCCTGTGGCGGGGGCGGGGGCCCCTCCGGAGGCCTGGGGGCGGGGCTTCCGGGCCCCGTCCTGCCCCTGAGTCTGGCCAAGAACCCACTGCTGCCCTCGCCCTTCGGGGCGGGCGGACTGGGCCCGCCTGTGATCTCCCTCCTCGCCGGTTCCGCGGGCGGCCAGGCTGAGGGGGAGAAGCGTGGGCCTGGGCCAGCCAGGGCCCTGGGATTGGAGGGGCGCAAGACGCCCCTGGAGAGGACTGAGGGTGGGCGCTCCCGGCCGAGCCCCGATGCGCTCTCCCTGCTGCCGGGCACCGCGCTGGACCTGTCCACGGGTGTCAACTCAGCGGCCAGCAGCCCTGAGGCCATGGCTCCAGGCTGGGTGGTCATCCCGCAGGGCCCTGTGCTGCTGAAGCCAGCCGTCGTGAACTGAGCCCGGGCCCAGCTCCGCCCCTGACGAACGGAAACTCTTCTGCGAAATAGCAATAATGTCCCCAGACCTGGCCACCCACCCTCACTGGCCAGCAGGGATGGTGCTAGGTCAGCACTGGTGAGCCGGGCAGGGGAGGCCCATGCCCCAGGCGCTGGCCCTGACCGTGCCCACCGCCAGCTGGCGTGGCACTCGCCCTCCCGTGGGCTTCGGGCTCCTTCCCCACCTCACCCCTGCTGAGCTGTGAGGAATTCCCCCACCTGGCCTCTGACTCTGGGGGCTCCCTGGACGCCTTTCCCTTTGGCCCCTGCCCCCAAGGGAAAGCAAGACAGACGCAGGCCCTGGCAAAGCCACAGGAAGCAGCAACGCACCCCCAAGATAAGGCGCCTCCCGCCCACCCCCTGGGAGACCTGCTCTGCCTTTGCCCAACTGGCCCACCTGCCTGGACACTGCCCTCTCGCCGGGACCCCTTCCTGTCCTTTCCAGGAGCCCTGGGAGTGAGCTGCCCGGCTCAGAGACAGGCAGGGCTGGTAGGGCCTGGCTGCCCTGGCACGGGGGTCAGGAGGCTGAGAACTGCAGAGCGCAGAGTGCAGGCCGCAGGTTTGGGTTGACACAGGGGTGGGAACAGTCCCAGGGCTGAAAGATCCCCACCCCTTCCCGCTGTAGACCAGGAGCTGGGGGGTGGCAGTGGGACATGGCAACCCTGTCGTCCAGGGTCCTCTGCCAGTCCCCCCTCACCCTCCACAGTTCTGCTGACCCCGCCCTTTCCTGGACTGCCCTCTGTCCCAGAGGGGTCACCCCGCCTGCCCACCAGTGCTGGCTCTGCCCCTCGGAGGGACTGAGCCAAGCAGGAGGGAGCTGGCCTCCTTCCTCTGGGCACCCCGGACCCAGGCCCCCACTCGTTACGGGCCCCAAGCCTAAGCCCCGTCGGGACGGGCGTGGAGCAAGGAGAGGGCACGGCACGCAGCGCCAGTTCGGCATGTGACTCGGTGGTAAGGGGGCCGGCGGGCCCATCTTGCTGCCAGTTTGGCAGCACCCCGATATCAGTATTTAACAGGTTCTAAGTGCCTTTCTATCTAGCTTACGTGTCCTCCTCTTGGCTCCATTGCTGTTAGCATAGAGTTTAAAACAGAGACGAGCTAATGACTATAACAATATATTCCTCCGTGTGAGAGGAAGTTTATAAAGAAACAATAAAAGTGAGTTGCAAAGTTTCCTTCTGTCTTGGCCGTCACCCACTGCCCTGGTGGGGGGTCCCAGCTGCCAGGGCCTCTCCAGGCGCAGGTCCTGGGGTGTGGGGGACTGAAGCGGGTTCATAGGACCCGGCCCTGAGCAGGAAGCACACTGGAGAAACGCAGAAAAGGTATTTATTGGCAAACTATAAATTAGGGGGGGGGCGCAGCCGAGTCACTTTTGGGGCTCCTTTCCCTGGTTCTGGGCCTGGATCCGGAGCTCCTCATCCAGGCGCTCTTTGGCTCGGACCACCTGGGGGACACCACAGTCAGGCAGCCCTGCTGCTGAGGGGTCCACGGGGTCCACCCCGGCCACGGCCAGCACTCACCTTGGACTGCAGGTAGAAGGAGCCACCCACAGACTTGTCATTCACCTTGAACAGGTGCTCGTAATTCTGCCGGGGACAGCGGGCCATGGGTCAGGATCCTGTAAGCCAGCTGCCCCAGGCCAGGGGGACCCCAACGGCTGAGGGCTAGGGTTAGTGGCCGTGAAGCCAGCTGCCCCTGACGCCGTGGCCTCACCTTCTGCACCTCCTCTGCACTCAGTCTGGACACGTTGAGGATCTGCTGGGCCTCCTGGAGGCTGAGGCCCGAGAGGGTAGATGCTGCTGCCGACTGCTGTCCAGCGCGGCCCCGGGCATCCGCGGCTGCCCGGCTGGCTGTGTGGACATGGGGGGCACGCTCAGCCCCGAGCCCACGGAGCGCGTACCCCAGCAGACAGGCAGGTCAGGGGCAGGGTCTGTGGGGGTGCAGGGCTCTCTCATCCTACACCCGGGGGCACGGGTGGGGCTCGACGCTCTGGCCCCCACCGCCCTATCAAAGACTCCAGACCAGAGGCCAGCCAGGCCCGAGTGTGGCGAAACAAAGCGGGCGGCTCAAGCCGTACTTACCTGCAAACTCCTGGCGCAGGGCGCGGGCGAAGGCCTTGCCCACTACCTGCACGCCCATCACGATGATCTGCGCCAGGTACTTGGCCTGTGGATGAAGCAGGCCCCAGGTGAGCGGCACGGGAGGGCCCTGCCTGTCGGGCAGACGCAGCCAAGGGGGCTTCCGAGAGCCAAGACTGAGTGGGGACGGAGATGCCCCTGGTCCCCCGACATCACCAAAGAGCGAGACGCCTCCACCAGGCAGGTGCAATGGCTCGGAACGAGGCCCCGGGGGCAGGAGGCCCCTTGCCGGGAAAAGGGGGCTGTGGGAATGCTCGCTCCATTCTGAGCCCACCTCCCAGGTGGGGACCACAGCCGCAGCCTGGGGGCCTCCCCTGTCTTCCGGGCCTGGGGGCTGCCGCCTTTACTCCTGCGGATAAACCTGAGGCACCAAGACTCCGCGACCCCTGGACACAGCTCATGCGCAGAAAAGCCAATACCATCAGTCCCGCCACGCAGCCCCTGGTCCCCAAAGGAGCCCGGGGAGAGGGGCATGGAAGTGTCAGGGATCAAGAACCGACTCGGGGCTGGTCTGCTCTGGCCTCGAGGCAGGGCCATCAGTGGACATGAGGTGCAGAAGGGGTTTCCCAAGGCAGAAACGTCACAAGCTCTTCATTCTGGCAATGGGGGGAGAGTGTGGGCTGGGGGGAAGACGGCCAGTCTGCTGCTACTGGCCAAGACACACAGACCGGCAGGTCAGCAGAGGACTCCAGAGGGACTCCGGCCCTCACATCTGTTAAGCAGCAGCATCCCTCAGCTGCCGCCCAGCGTCCCTGCCCCCCACCGCGGTGACCTGATGGGGCAGAAATGAATGTAGCTGGGCCCTGTGCAGCCGTGGGCTCCAGACTGGGGAGGGGGGAGCAGCTCACGCACACACTGCTCAGAGGGGCTAGAGCTCGGCCAGCCGCAGCCACCAGAGGGGATACAGGGAGCTTCCACCCCTCAGCCACCCCCAAAGCTCCCAAGTGCCCCCCAGTCCACCGACCGCACTCAGGCCCCCAGAGCCCAAGCAAGCCGACTCGGAGTCAGGCCAAGGAAGGCTGCAGAGACAGAGGTCAGGGCCACGGATGGCCTCTGTACCCAAAGGGGTGGCACACAGGCAAGGCCTCGGACGCGGCTCATGCACGCCCCGGGATGAGCAACCTGGCGACCGGACGGGCTCAGGGTACTGCAGGTGGGCAGGGGCGGGAGGGCGCCCAGCAGGGCTCGGCTGGCATAAGGGGAGGCGGGGGTCCACGGGGCACCTGCCTCTGACCAGCACTGACTGGGAACAGTCCCTGCGCCCCATCACGGGTGGTCTCCCCAAACCACCACCGCCAAGGGACCCCAGGGACCCCAGCTGCTGTGGCCTGGCGCGCGGTGAACACGACATGCCACCAACTGGGCACCCGAGGCTTCGCCAAGGGGCCTCCGCCTGCACCTGACCCGGGCGCCCTGCTCGCACCCCGGCCACTCCCCCCGCCCCGCGGCTCGCCCCGCTGGACGGCCACGCGGCCCGAGTCCCCGTCCCACGCACTCGCCCCCCGTGCGCGCACGGCCAGTCCTTCCAGAACGTTCTCGTCACCTCCCCGCTCGGCACCCCTCCCGCTCTCCGTGCTGACCCCCTGGCGCGGAGGGGAGCTGGACGGCGGTCGCGCACAGGTGGAGAAGGGGCAGCCCCCCGGCCCGTGTCGGCCACGCGCGGGGGCCGCTGAGCCTGCGCGGCGGGCCGGAAGCCCAGCTCTGGGGGCCGTGGGCCGCGCGGGGGGCGCCCTACCCGGGGACCCGCCCAACGGCCTCCGGGCCGGGCCTCACCATGACGGCCGCGCCGCTGTCTCCGGCCGCGGGTCCCGCTTGCCCGGCCCGGGGGGCCCAGCTCAAGGGCGGCCGGCAGGTCAGAGGGCGCAGGAGGCTGCGGACAGCGCGTGCGCCGCGCCGGGCATGCGCACTCGCTCCGCCCCGGGGGCGGGGCCAGTGACAGCAGCGCGGGGCGGGGCGTGTGGCGTTGCGAGGGGCGGAGCGTGCGGCGTTGCGAGGGGCGGGGCGGGCGGCGTTGCTAGGGGCGGGGCGGGCGGCGTTGCGAGGGGCGGGGCGGGCGGGCCCGGCTGCTTCCGGCCCACGTGCTTCTCCTGGACGCGAAGGGCAGCGGGATATCCGGTCCGATGCCGGGCGCCGGCTCCCCTCGGCTGTGCCCGGCTCTTCGGGGCGAGGCGCCGTCCAAGCGACGCTCAGGCCCTCGGGAGCAACAAATGCTGAAACCCCTCGCGACTGACGCGCACAGGAGCCGGGCTTCATCCCCATTCCTCTGTCCGATGTCTCTTCAGGGAAGCCAGCCCCGACATCTCCAACGCTGCAGTGCTTTTTTTTTTTTTTGGGGGGGGGGTCACAACGAGCCGTGTTCAGGGCTTAGTCCTGGCGCTGTGCGCAGGGATGGCTCCTGGTCGGCCTGGGGAACCACAATGGTGCCAGGGATGAAGTTGGGTTGCTGTGGGCAAGGCCTTAATCCCTGAACCGTCTTTCCGGTCCCCCCCAGGCCTCCTGCACGATCACCTGGTGCCAGGACCTTCCACAGACACCGCCTGCCTCTTTGCCTCACCCCTCCTGGGCAACTGGGCTGGGGACCCTTGTGTTGACTTGACAAATAAGTTCTCTGCCCAGGGCCACACCGAGCTTGCCCGCGTCCCTGTCCCCACCCCAAAGACCACAGACACAGGCCAGTTTAGAAAAGTTTAATAGCTGAGACATCTGGGGCACGTGCAGGCCCTGCAAGGCGCCTTTAACTGGCCACTTGCTCACGGATGGCCCCGTTCCTGGCATCACACCGGGAGAGCCCAGGCCCCTGAGGTGGGTGCTGCTCCAAAATGCCTGGTGGGGGGGGCCCGCCCCCAAATCCATGGGAACTGGGGCAGCAGGCAAGATGGGGGAGGGGAGCAGGTACAAAACAAGAGTCAGCCCAGGCCGGCGCCAGCCCAGGTGGAAGAGGGACACAGGGAGCCCAGGGCCTGCCTGGGGACTGCCCTGTCCCAACCTTGGTTCCACATGCGAGCAGGCAGCTGAGAAGATGCAGCAGGTCCCCAAGAAAGCAGGGGTGTGGACAGTGCACGCAGCAGGAGGGCTGGAGTGCCTTCTAGTGCAGGGGTGAGGCCAGGCGGTGGCGCTGTGGGCAGGCTAGTCCTAGGAAGAGGAACCGAGCCGTAGGGTGCTGGAGGGCAGTGGAATCGGACAGCCAGTGGGGGGTGCAGCGTGTGGGGACCCTGGGGCACTCACCCACTCGTCCTCGTCCACGCCCTCAAAGGAGTCCTGGGGGAGCGGGTCCTCGCGGTTCCCCAGTTTCGCCACCATGGCGCTCAGCAGCTGCAGAGGGGAGTGGGCAGGGGTGGGGAACGGCACTTCTGGGGCTGAGTTGTCAGGGTGCCGGAAGCAGTGTCACTAGCACCCTGTGGCTCTCCTTTGGCAGGGGGTGCTTGAGTCACATGCGGCTACTCCAGGCAGGGCTCAGGAGGACTGTGCGGTGCCTGGGGTGGAACCGGGGTTGGCCGCATCCAAAGCAAGAGCCCAAAACCATGCACTCTCTCCAGATGTCGGGCATAGTTTGCCGCGAAAAAAACCAGCACAGAGATGGGGCCAGAATCCCTAGGCCAGCTCACATACCAGCCAGCAGGTGTGCCAAAGCCACTCAAGTCCCGAACCTTGGCTCAGCTGGGCTGGGCCTGACCAGGTCACAGCCGCCTGCCTCTGTCTGAGGTGGCAGCAACCCACTCCTGGGTTCAGGGGGGCTCCCCACCAAAATGTCCAACGGAGGGTGTGCTCCTGGCAGCAAGCTCTGCCCTTGGCCAGCTCGTCTGACCCACCTCTTCCTTCTTCTGCTGGTCTGACTTCTCTTCCAGGTAGACGGCGGAGGGGGCTCGGCGGGCTGGGGCTTCCCGGGGGGCCTGGCTCACTGGGCGGGGTGAGAGCGGGTGTCAGAGCGGCTCCCCAGCACCTGAACCCCAGCCATCGGGGGGGGGGGCTCCCGCAGCTGTTCAGGCCTCAGTTCACCAGGCCTGGCCAGGCGCTCAGGTGTGTGTGCACAGCTCTGTACCACGTGTGTCTAGGTGGCTTGTGAGAGTGTGCAAGACTGCACAAGGCCAAGGCTGTGCAGGGGCATGCAAGGAGGTGCAGGTGTGTGAGGCTACATATGTGTGTGTGTGCAGGTGGATGGACGCACGTGCAGGGCTGTGAGCAGGCGTGTGCATGTCCAAACACATGTGCACGCAGTCAGGCTTACGAGTGAACTCGGGCTTACTAGGGTGTGTGCAGGGGCCTGTGTTGGGCTAAGGGGCTAGTGATGGGACGACAGATCCCAGGCCTCGCCCCCCAGAGACCCCAGACCTAGAGGTAGCAGCAGCTCCTGCGATGCCAGCAGGGCAGGGGGATGGTCTCGGGCCTGTACCCCTTTCTCCAAAGCCCCTGCTCCCCTGCTTCCTCCCCTCCCCACCCCTCAGCACACCTGGGGTCATGTCGGAGGGATGCAGGCTGAGAAACCGGGGCTGCCCGTTGGTGCCGCTCAGCCAGGCCTGGGCAGTGAGGGCGGGCTCCCAGGTCACAGCTGTTTCCGGAAACACATCGTCCTGGAAGAACTCTTTCTGCGGGGACGGTGGGTGGTCCTGAGGTGCTGTCCAGCACGGCCAGGCCCTCCCCAGCTGAGGCTCCTGTGAGCTACAGGCGGCTCCGAATGGTTGTTTTGGGGACAAAGGCCCTGATGAGCTGGGAAGAGGGTACGGGCTTGGGTGTACCGGGGCCCCTTACCCTGACCCGGGGCAGCCGGAAGGCAACAGGCTCCAGGGAGGCCTGGCGGAGTCGCAGGCACCGGGCAAACTCCACGTCCCGCACGTCACACTCCGTCTTGGGCAGGAGGGCAAAGCACTGAGGGCAAGATGTGGAGCTGGACAGTGCTCTCCTGGGGGTGCCCGGCAAGCACCATGCCCCAGGTGCCTAACTGTGGGCTCTCTGGAGCAAAAGCGTCCTCATGTCTAGCATTCGCCTATTTTGGGGGTGTGAAAACCCCGAGTTCTCACTAGCCACATGCTTGGGAGTTCCAGGAGCTGGAAGCTGGGGGCAGCAGCCATGTTCCCCACCAGGACACACATGGTGACATTGGATGGAAATGAAGAGGTGACAGGTTGAGTGCTTTCAGAGCTAGTTTCTGTGTTAGTCTATTGGACTACTGAGGGTGAATCCTAAAACCTGCAAAGCCCGCCGTGCCTGACCTCTGGGGCATAACCCTGGTCCTTGTATACTGGTGTGGGTCGGGCCAGACCCTGGGGTGCTTGGGGGATACTCCTGGTTCTGTGCTCAGAGCATCTTGCAGTGTGTGGGGTCCAAACAGGTCAGCGGCACGCAAGGCCAGCGCCTGCCCCGCTCTGTGGCTCTCTGCCCCTGGCCCTTGTAATGTAATTATTTTTTTTAGTTCTTCTGGCCACACTCAGTGGTGTCCAAGGGCGGCTCCGCCTGTGCTTGCAATGGTTCCTGGTGATGCTCATACAGCAAACGGGAAGAGCTGTGACCGCCAGGTGGGACCACCACTGCCCCTTCTCCTGCATGCAAAGCCTGTGCTTAGCGCCTTTGGCTCTCTTGGGCCCTGGACCTGGCACTGTCAGGGATTAGATCCAGCTGGACCTGGCGCTCTGAGGGAATTTTCCTGTCGGTGGACATAATTTAGCCTTTACCTACTTGAACTCTGCCTAAAGTCGAGCTTGAATTACCCGCTAGAATCTCTGGGCACTGGGCCCCTGCATTTCCGCACTTCTGCCAGCAGAGGGCAGGGGCGCGCCATGGCTCTCACCTTGTGGGGGTCCGGGGAGGTGAAGCAGTTGCATTCCAGGAAAAAGGGGGCCTCGGGAAGCAGCTCATAGAGGAACACGCGGGTGTCGCCCTGGGAGTGGGATGCCAGCATGAGGGAAAGCTGTGGCCCGCCCACCGCCTCTCCAACCTGCCGCCCCCGACTCGCACGGCTCACCTTGCCGGTGAGCAGCACCAGGCCTGTGTCCGGGTCATAGATGGGCAGCAGCGTGGATGGGGCCACGTCGAGCCCCAGCACGGCCAGGGGCCCGTCTGCCAGGGCCTGGGCTGCGTACAGGAGCAGCTGGCGCTCGCTTCGGCTGGGGAGTGGGCAGCAGGCGGGGGTCAGGGCAGCCTGCGGACCCCGGGCTCTGTCCTCTGCACTCACCACATTCTCTTCTCCGGGGCCTGCCTGCCTTTCACCCGGAAGTAATGCCCCTCTCCCTCCCGGTCTCTGCTGCCTCTCCAGGCCCAGTTCGGGCCACAGTTACCCGCCGTCCAGTGCTCAGGAAGCCCTTGTTCCTGGGCTGCTCCTCAGTCCCCTCGCCCAGCTCATAGGGCGCCCTCCTGCACCCGCTCACCCACCTGTTGGCACAGGGGCAGCTTGTGCATAGCTGGCAGGTGCCTGTGTGCTGGGAGGGGGGACACGGGACTAGAGTCCCCAAGTCCTTACCTGTCAAAGCCAGACACCAGCAGACAGCGGCCGTCACACACCCAGACAATGCGGGCGCCACGTGCCCCCTCGGGCCCTGGGCCCTCCTGCGGGGATGGAGCCGTGAGGCCCTGCCCTGCCTGGCTGAGCCGCCCACCCCAGGCCACTGTCTCACCTGCAGGGGCTCTGGGCCGCTTCGGGGCGCATAGACCCGTACGCGTCCATCCTTACACACTGTGGCCAGCTGCTGCCCGTTGGGACTCCAGGCCAGGCCAAAGATCTGGGGAGCAGGCAGGGCCGTGAGGGGGGCGGGGACGCAGGGCGGGCCCCCAGCTCCGTCACCGGCTCGGTGATACCAGGCTGACCTGGTCATGGTGGCCCTGCAGCCTCAGGCGCTCGGCACCGGCGCTCAGGTCCCAGACACGGACCGTGAGGTCGTAGGAGGAGGAAGCGAGCACGTCGGCCGCCAGTGGGTGAAAGCGCACAGAGTAGATCTTTTCCGTGTGGCCTGGGGGGAAGGCGGAAGAGGCTGAGCCCCTGCCCCGACTCCGGGCCGCAGCCCCCATGTGGGCCCTGACCTGTGAGCACGGCCTCGGGCGTGGTGAGCGTGGCCTCCAGGCCGTCCGGGGGCACCCGCCATAGTCGGATCCTGGCGTCCTCACCAGCTGCATGGGGAATGGGGGCCACATCAGAACCCCGTCAGGACCCCTCGCCCCCACCCCGGGGAACTTGCTCCAGCCCAGCAACGGCCTCCTTACCCACGGCAAGCCGTTGGGGGTCGAAGGGGTCCCAGGCCAGGTCGGCGACGGCGGCCCCGTTCTGCAGCGTGGGCAGTGCCGTGTCGGGCAGGCGGCCAGGCTTCTGCAGCTGTGGGAGGCGCGGGCAGTGGTCCCCATGTGCCGTCTCCCAGGGTCCACCGAGGCCCCAGAAAGGGAAGGGGCAGCAGGCAGCAAGGCCCACAGCAGTGGGGCCCGGGAGACCTGGACTCGGCACCGGCAGTGCTCAGAGCCCCCTTACATGGCAGTAACCCACCCGGCCCCTGAGACCCCCGGGAGGGGGCCCCAATCTGCAAACCCAGGACCAGAGAGGGCAGGGCCCCCTCACCTCCAGCACAGCCACCGGCCCCCCACTGCCGAGCAGGGGTACGGCCACGCGCAGCCGGTTGGCACAGAAGCCGTCGCTCTCGCCGGGTGTGGTCAGGTTGAGGCCCCTGAGATTGGTGATGTGGCGGTCTCGGTGCAGGACGGTGCCCTGCGCGTGCCGGAACCTGGAACTGGGGCCTGTGGAGGCCGGTGGTCCAGGTCACGTCAGAACCCTGGCCGCCCCAGCGGGGGCACAGAGTCAGAGCGGGGGGGGGGGGGGGCAGTGCGGCCTAGTGGGCAGCCCCCAAAAAGTCGAGAGTGGGAGGGCAGGGCTGGCGCACAGTGGGGCAACCTGGCAGGCGGAAGCCCTGGGGACCAGTCCCAGGTCCAGGATGCACAGGAGTGGCCCCGAGGCTGGTTTGTGTCTGAGCCTCAAGCAGTGACGCTCAGGGTCCCGGGGGTGTCGGGGTTTATACTCCAGCTGGCCGGGGTCCCATGTCTCTGGCCCGTGGGGAGAGTGGCCGGCGCCTGGGGCCCGCACGCACACTGACCCAGCAGGCTGTGCAGTGACCGCTGGCTGGGGCTGGTGCCGATGCCACTGGTGCTGGAGAGTGAAGGGCCCAGGCTGGACGGTGTGGATGGCGAGGTCAGAGAGCTGGCGGGGGAGGACGGCGCCTCCTGTGAGAGACACACGCGCTTGGCCGGAGCCCACGGGGCCAGCTGTGGTGTCCCTGGGCGCGGGAGGGGGAAGAGAGGGAGGGCAGGGTCTGGCGGGGGTGGGGGCTCCCGCGGGCGGAGCAGTCTCCACTCACATTTGGGTCTGTGGCACTTGGTGTGTCCACAGCTGTGGCTGCCGCCGAGGGCGGGTCCTGGGGGCGCAGCAGGCTGGACGTGAAGCTGGGGATGGGGCGGCGGGCAGGGTCCAGGCTGACCCTCAGCACCTGGGTGGAGTGAGACAACCCCAGCTGGACAGGGCTCCCTGGGGGGGGGGGGGCCCAGGGGGCTGCTGGCGGGTCCTACCTGCTGGTCGCTCCCAGTCCACCAGGCGGGGGCGTCGGCCGCGGGCACGCAGCCCGCCGTGTCCGGGAAGAGGTCCTCGTGGAACTGCACGGCCTGCGGGGAGAGTGCCATGCTGCTACCGAGATGCCAGGGACCCCCGCGGCCCCCCGCCCACGCCCGGGCCTCACCTTGCGGGGCACGTGGAAGCTGACGGGCAGGATGGCCGTGTCGCCCAGCTGCAGGACACGCAGCACCTCGCAGCCCAGGACCGCCAGCGCCCGCCGCGGGGCCAGGGCCGCACCCCGCAGCGCGCTCTCCAGCACACACTGGGTCACTGTGGGGACACGGGGTGGGGGGGCTGTGAGCGTGGGGCCAGGGCGGAGGTGGATGGGACCAGGGCGGGCGGGACTCACCGGGGCTCAGCGCCGGCGGCTGCGGGACCACCTCGTAGCAGTACAGCTGCGTCTCCCCCTGGAAGGAGCCACCTAAGCACCCTGACACACACCCCCGGCTGCCCTGGGTCCCACGGGCAGGTGTGGACCCGAGCACCCCCAGGTCCTCTTGGGGGAGGGCAAGTGTGTCCTGCTGTGCCCCGTTTCCGGTCGGCTGGGAAGGACAAAGGCAGCCCCCACTCACCTTCCCCGCCAGGACCAGGAGTCCTGAGTCTGCGTCCAGCAGGGGCAGCAGAGGCCTGGAGGGGTGAAGCCAAGGTGGGCACAGGGCGCAGGGGGATAGGGGCCGCAACAAGCCCCGTCGCCACACCCCTCTACCCTGCGAGCCCACTGCTCTCCCCCACGCCCACAGCCCCTCCTTCACCAGGTGCCAGGGCAGCTTCTCGAAGGGCTGCCCCCGGACCCTGCACCCGACTCGGCACCAAGAGCAGGTGGTGGCTGGCCCATGTGCCCTCCTGCCCTGCGCCATCAGCCTAGTGGTGGCCCGTCTGCTCGGAGACCTGACGGAGCTGAGGCAGACAGACCCCCCACGCTGTGAGCCCGCCCTGCCTCTGACCCCAAGCTGCCCCCTGACCTCCGTGCACCCCACAGTGCCCTCCACCCCAAGTCCTGAACTGCCCCGACCCCCTGAGCCTTCCCCGTCCCCTGGCCCCGAGCCCCGCCCTGCCCCCCGGCCCTGAGCACCCCCATATCCTGAGCGGGCTGGGCTGGGTTCCTCTCTGTATCCAGAGAGGACAATGACTGGGAACTGGGGGACTAGGACCTGTCTTTCCCAGTCACTAACGCTCCCTGGGGGTCCCCTGCAGCCCTGGGGCCTTCCAGTGGGAGTAGTTCCGGTTTCTGCTTTGGGAGCCCCTCAAACCTGAGCCCACCCCAGCACCGATGCCTCGGGCAGCCCCGCCCTTGCGGGGGCCCAGCCACAGCCGCTGCCCACACCCCACCTCGACCCTCGCTCCGCACTTCCCGGACGCGGCCACCTGGAGTGAGCAGGCCTCTAATTACCCCGCGGCCAGGGCGTGTCTGCCTGACCTGGGCTGACCACAGCCTGGCCACTGTCTGCGGGCATGGGGCGGAGGACACAGGGGTGTGTCCCCACGGCCGGGGCACCCATGCTGCCTCCAGGGCCTGCTGTCGGTGCTGTCCTCAGGTCCTGGGTCGGTTGGTCTGTGCCCACCCCTCGGGCCCCCCAGGTGCCACGGGTGTGTGCAGGATGCCCGCTGGCCTCGCCTGGGACGAGAAGCGAGGCCCATCATGTCTCGTCTGAGGGCCGTCAGGCACGAGGCAGCCTCAGGCAGAAGGTGGCCTGGGCACAGAGGGCGGGGCTGGACAGACCTGCAGTCCTGCCCGTGGGCTCCCACCTTCGGGGGCCCTGCCCGCCGCAGGGCAGCAGCCCCTGACTCAGGCGCAGGCAGGAAGTCTCGTAGGGCAGGGCAAGCTTCCCAGCAGGTCGGGCCAGTCCCCTGGCCCCGGGCAGAGCCGCCTGGGCAGCTTCAGCAGGCAGAGCATGGGGGCCCGCCTGGCACGGGCCAGGAAACGGGGTCATGGCACCCAGCCCTGAGCGTTGGCCAATAACGTGCAGGTGTGACCCCGGGGCCTTGGGAGGGCAGGCCGAGTCAGGGGCAGGAACGCGAGGGTGGGAGGGGGGGTGCGGGGCCAGGCGAGCCCCTTTGCCCCTCCCTGTCTGTGCCTGGAGTCCGGGAGGGGCTGGCTTCCCGGTCACCCCACTGGAATGGGGCTGGGGCTGAGTGGCAGCTGGCCCGGGGACCAGGCACCTTCCCTGGGGCCACACCTGGTGCGCCCCTGTCGCTGGCCCTGGCCGCCGTCCTCTGTCCCCTGCTCTCAGGAGCGGCCATGGATGCGCCTGCGGCTGCTCAGGCAATTCTGGACTTCACAAGCGCTGAAAGTCCCTGGGTGTCTGCCAGGAAGAGCCAGTCCGCCCCGAGTCCTGCCGACCCGTCTGCCCTGGGCCAGCGCAGCCCAGCCGCCCCCCTTCCCGGACCCATCTCCCAGCACTGGAGTACCTGAGCGCCCCTACCCCACGCCGTCACTGGCTCTAACGGGTACAGCCTCAAGACCACTCGGGGTCTCCAGACTCGGCCCGTGAACCTAGGGTGCAGGAGTGCTTGAGGCTGTGGGGGTCTCTGTCCCCAAGGCCCGGCCACCGCGCAGCCCCCACACCTCCAGCTGGGCTCTGCAGTGGCCCCTGTGTGAATACACTTCTAGCTCTTTCCTTTTGTTGAGGGGAGTCGCATCTGGGGGTGCTCAGGGCTGACTCCTGGCTCGGCACTCAGGTATCACTCCTGCCCTCTGGGATGCCGGGGATAGAACCCAGGTCGGCCGAGTGTCAGGACAGCTCTTCCCTGCTGCACTACTGCTCTGGCCCCAACCTCAGGGGCTGGGAGAAGGCCCCGGGGCTAGAGCACTTGCTCTGGCGCACGGGAGCCCGAGTTCAATCCCGGAACTACTTACTCCCTGAGCACTCAACTAGGGGTCACCCCCCACGAAGAAAAGACCCTGTTCCCTGAGAGAATCAGGCTTCCAGTCCTTGGAGCAGGCCCGGGTGCATCCGTGGCCACTCCTGAGAGCAGGGACAGAGGACGGCAGGGCAGGGGCCGGGGGCACCAGGTGTGGTGCGGGGAAGGCGCCTGGTCCCCGGGGTAGCTGACCCTCAGCCCTAGCCCCCGTCCCGTGCAACACAAGCCGGGAAGTCCCGTTCTAAACTGAAAGGCGAGGAGTTTTCAGTGTTGGCAGCGGCTTCAACTTTTTTTTTTTTTTTTAAGAAAAAGTCCCATTTAGGCCAAATGAGACTCGCCTGAGGGTCAGTGCCAGCCCTGGCCCAAAGCAGAGGGTAACAAGCCAGGGCCTCACGCACATGGACCAAGACTCATATGCAGTGTGGGGGAGAGGTGCCTCCCCCAGCGGGGCAGGAGGCTGCAAGCTGGGGTTACCCCTGGGACCAGCTGGCCACGGAGGCCGCCACCCCTCTGCAAGGGACCGAGTCCTCCCAGGGCCATGCAAAGCCCCCCAAGCCCCGACCAGCCTTGACCAAGTGCTTCGGCTGCAGGCAGGCTTGGAAGGGGAGTGGCCACTGTCCCTGGGGCAGCTGGGAACCAAGCTGGGTGCCCAGAGGCTTGGAGGAGGCCTGCCCAGCCGCAAGTGTGGAATGGAGAGTGTCCCCTGCAGTCCTCAGAGATAGGGGATTTTTCTGAGCAAGGTCTGCCCCTGGTACTGCCCCCTTCTCTCATTAAGGAGTCACATGAGCAGCAGCCTGAAACCCCCCAACACAGACACACACGCAGGTACACACGCGCACACACACTGACAGACACACACACATGCACACACAGACACAGACCCACACACAGACACAGACCACACAGAAACACACACTGACACACACAGAAACACAAGCACGCAGAAACATACAGACAGACACGTGCACACACACAGAAACACACATACACATATCCACAGACACAGACACAGACACCCACACACATGCACACACGCGCGCGCACACACACTCACACACATACAGTCTTTGGTAACAGACTACGGAGGCAGCTGTGGTCAGTCACCTCCCCAAACCAAGTCTCAGTCCCCTTCACTGGACACCAAAGTGCTGAAAGGACCCCAGAACCCCGACCCAACACCAGAAGCTGGACGCAGGAGGTGGCCAGAAGGCTTGTGTGGCCAGATGAGAACGTTTCCAGGTGGGCTTTGACTTGGGGGTCTCCCTCAGGGGTGTGCAGGGCCTCCTCCTGCCCTGCACACTCACAGGTCACCCTGCGTGGGCACGGGCACTACGAGAGTCCGGGCAGGGAACCCGGGGAGGCCTTACGCAAGCAGGCAAGCGCCCTGCCGTCCTGGGTCTCTGGCCCCTGCTGGGGGTGGAGGTCACCCATTGGTGCTCCGCGCTCAGAGCTCACTGCAGCGCGGGTCGGGGTGCAGGGGCCCACCCGCGCCACATCGCACGGGGACTTTCTGGGGCCCTTTAGTGGCGGGGGTACCGAGGCCCGGGACTCCGAAGGTGCTGCCCACCGGAGCGGAGGGGGCGGGTGACCACCAGGTTGCTGTCCCGGGGCCCTCCGAGCGGAGCGGCGCGGAGAGGCGGCCCCGCCCCCGCCGGGCCCGGCCAATGGAAGGCGGCCCCGCCCCCGGCCAGCAGGACTGGGCAGCGCGCGCGGGCGGGGACGCGCCAGGAGCCTCGGGCCGGCGGCCGGGAAGCACCGAGGCCGCGGCCCGCGCCGCCCGGTGAGTGGCCGGGAGCGTCCTCGCGCGCGGAGCCCGGGGAGGGCGGCGCGGAGCCCCGGAGGGGTGGGAGCGGACCCCCGGGGCGGGCGCGCGGGCGCGGACCCCGGGGCGGGCGCGCGTGGAACGCGGGGCGGGCGGACGCGGACCCCGGGGTGGGCGCGCGTGGACCCCCGGGGCGGGTGGGAGCGGACCCCGGGGCGGGTGTGCGTGGACCCTCGGGGCGGGCGCGCACGGACCCCGGGGAGGGTGGGCGCGGACCTCGAGACGTGCGCACCCCCGGGGCGGGTGGGAGCGGACCCCGGGGCGGGCGCGTAAGCCCCCAGGAGGGCGCGCGTGGACCCAGGAGGGCGCGCGTGGGCCCAGCCCCGCGCGCTCCCCCGGCCGGTCCCTGTCCCGGGCGCCGCAGCAGCCCCGCGCGGGTGGGTGTGTGCGGGGCTCCTGGCTGGGCTACTGCAAGCAGACAAAATAAACACCCCCTCCCTGCCCGCTTCCTCCTCCCACGGCCCTCCAGCACGACCAGTTTTATGAATCAAACCCCCCTGGCGATGGCTGGGCCCCTGCGGCCAAGCCCCAGGCCGGGTTACTATTTCCTCAAGGGGGTGGGTCAGCTTCTGGGCCTGGACAGGCTGCCTGAGCCCTGAGCACCTTGTCACCCTAAGAGTCCAGCCACAGGTGTGCAGACCGGGAGGGTAACCTGGAGGGCACCGGAGGCCTCCTGCCCAGGGAGCAGGTCGGGGTGCCCATCGCTGCCCGGGTCAGGGAAGGGTCTTTCCTCCAGCTGTGGGCTCCGCGGCCAGGAGCGGTTCTGTCCTTTGTGTCCCAGGGGCCAGGCTGCTCGGCGCCCCTGTGGTCACCAGCAGGCCAGCGAGTTTGTGCCAAGGTTTCTGCCTCACCCTGTTGGTTAACAATTACCATCCCCAGGTCACTGACCGCCTCTGCCCTGTCCCGCTGGGACCCGGCTGGAGGCTGTGAGGTGGGAGAGGGA